AATAACACGGTGAGCCTCTCGTGGACCCCTCCATTTTGAATCTCTATCAGGGCCCAAGAGTCACAGCATCTCCCCCCAGCGTCCTTTCCATTCTAAATTGCTCTCTTTCGGCACGCTCTCTCTAAATGTCAGAGCATTTGGGGCCACTTGTAATCGTCAATCTTTTTCACAGGAGTGGTTTCTAAATCCTGGCGTCTGGTTCCTTGTGTGTGCACAGGCGCTGCTGCAGCTATCTCCTGAGAGTCTGCTTCAGCACTCCCCGCTTGCCTGAATGAAAACATCTAGAACTTCTTCCTAGAATCCCTCTAGAAACACCAAACTTTATAGGCTGACCTCGTCCGGTTCCTTTTGGAGTGAACTGGGATGCCAGGATTATGCTAGCCTAACAATATTAAGGTGGCAGCCACACCTGCAGTGACAGATAATTACACCCACTGCCCTGTCTCTTGTCGCAAGTTTCCTGTTTGGTAGCTGCTCTCAGGATGAATCACACTTGTTTTCCCAGTGACAGCTTTGCCGCCTCCTTCATTGAACTTTGGAATCCATACGGTGGCCCCTTGTCTAGCTGGGTCCTTTTCCTCATTCGTCCACCTTCACCCCTGTAAGTCACTGAGAGTGAAGTTTCTTTTGAGGGAACTGAAGGTAATGGCTCACACATCAGGCTCAAGTATCCCCCTAGGCATTGTTTCAAACCATTCTTCCCTTGTGGTGTTCAGCCTTGTCTCGTCTGTGAACTCGTCTCTTTATAGTAAACGAATTTACCAAAATAGAACTGGTTCAACTCCCAGTTCTTTGAACACTTACAATTCTTATGTTTTATATACAAAGGATATTTTATTTTATTTGCTCTTTTTTATTAAAGATTTAATTTGATTTAATTTTTAATTTTCATTCAGCGAGTGTAGGAGGGTATTGTGTACCCAAGAAAAGGTGCCCATGGAGTCCCACAGAGGGGATCAGATCCCCGGAGCTAGAGTTATGTTTTTTTTTAAACTTTTTTTTAAATTTATTTATTTATTAAGGATTTCTGCCACCTCCCCGCAACCGCTTCCCATTTCCCTCCCCCTCCCCCGATCAAGTCCCCTTCCCTCATCTGCTCGCAGAGCAATCAGGGTTCCCTGACCTGTGGGAAGCCCAAGGACCACCCACCTCTATCCAGGTCTCAACAGAAGAAGTTCAAATGGCCAAAAGACACTTAAGGTCAACTTCCTTAGCGATCAGGGAAATGCAAATCAAGACAACTTTAAGATACCATCTTACACCTGTCAGAATGGCTAAAATAAAAAACACCAATGATAGCCTTTGCTGGAGAGGTTGTGGAGGATATTTTATTTTTAAAGTATTTTTTTTTCTTTTACTTTCTGTAGGACTGTTTTATCTGAATGTCTGTGTACCATATGAATGTGGTAACCACAGAGGCCAGAAGAGGGCGCTGGATTCCCTGGCGCTAGAGCTACAGATGGTTGTGAGCTGTCATGTTGGGAAACAAACTCTGGTCCTCTGAGACAGCAGCAGTGGTCTTAACTCCTGAGCCATCTCTTCAGCCCCTGAAAGTATCAACTCCTGGAAGTCGTCATTTGGGTAGGATGGACAGGCAAGGACAGTGAGGAGTGATATTTTCTTTGTGCACCTTGTAAGTGTTTTTAATGTGGTTACTTATTCTGGACACAGGGTCTCACTATGTAGGCCAGGCTATCCTTGAATTTCTGATCCTCTGGACTCAGACTTACAATTGCAGGCCTTATACACATAAAACACCATGCCTAGCTAGCTTTTAGGTTTTGAAACATGATTGTTACGTTATATAAGAAGTTAAAAATGAATTGAACCATGTATGGGGTAGAGCACTGGGGAAGGAGGAGGCAGGACGATCAGTTTAGGTCACCTTCAGCTACATAGCCAGTTCAAGGCCGGCCTGAATTATATGAGAAAATGACATCTGAAAAAGAGCTAAGGAGGGTGAGAAAAACAAGTGGGGTAAAAAATGACGATTAAAAAAACATAGCTAGGTATAGTAGTTCATATCTGTAATCCCAGCACTTGGGAGACTGAGGCAGGAGGGTGGCTGTGAGTTAGAGGCTGGCCTGGGCTACATAGTGAGTGTGACTTCAACATGACCGAGAGTGAGGGCGGGTCTCAAAAACAAGCAAATAAAACAAACAGAAGAGGCTGGAGAGATGGCTCAGGGCTTAAGAGCTGCTCTTCCAAGGGACCAGAGTTCAGCTTCCAGCCATTCACAGAGTGGCTCACAACTCCTTAGAACTCCAGTTCCAGGAAATCCAACCCAACCCCATCTCTGGGCTCTAATGATACCCATACTCATGCACGGTTCTCTCTCTCTCTCTGTCTCTGTCTCTCTCTCTCTCTCTCTGTCTGTATGTCTCTCTCTCTCTTTCTCTCTGTCACACACACACACACACACACACACACACACACACACACTTCTAGAGGACATAGGTTCAATTCCAAGCACCCACATAGCAGCTCACAACTGTCTGTAACTCTAGTTCCAGGGAAAATGACACATTCTTCTGGCGCCTGTGTGGGTACCAAGCACACACATCTTTATATATATACAGGCAACTAATACATATAAAATTGATACATATAAAAGAAAATAAAAATGATTTTAAAAGATAATCAGACGAGATCGGGCGCGTTCAGGGTGGTATGATAAAGGAAAGGTGGATAGGGGAGCACAGAACCACAATTCTTAGTTAAGGGAGCCAGTTTAGGGTGGGCAAGAGACTTGACCCTAGAGGGGCTCCCTAGTGCCCAAGATGAGGTTCCCAGTTAGTTCCTTGGGCAGCTGAGGATTGGGAACCTGAAATGACCCTATCCTAGAGCAATACTGACGAATATCTTGCATATCATCATAGAATCTTCATCTGGTGATGGATAGAGACAGAGACCCACACAGGAGCACTGGACTGAGCTCCCAAGGTCCCAAGGAGGAGCAGAAGGAGGGAGAACATGAGCAAAGAATTCGGGACCACGAGGAGTGCATCCACCCACTGAGACAGTGGAGCTGATCTACGGGGAGCTCACCAAGGCCAGCTGGACTGTGACCGAAAAAGCATGGGATAAAACCGGACTCTCTGAACATGGCGAACAATGAGGGCTGATGAGACACCAAGGACAATGGCAGGGGGTTTTGATCCTACTTAATGTGCTGGCTTTGTGGGAGCCTAGCCAGTTTGGATGTTCACCTTCCTAGATATGGACGGAGGGGGGAGGACCTAGGACTTAGCACAGGGCAGGGAACCCGGACTGCTCTGTGGACTGGAGAGGGAGGGGGGAGAGGAGTGGGGGGAGGGGGAGAAGGGTGGGAGGAGGGGAAGGGAAATGGGAGGCTGGGAGGAGGTGGTAACTTGTTTTTTGTTTATGTTTTTTTTTTCTTCTTTTCGCAATAAAAAAAATAAAAAAAAGATAATCAACTGTCTTGGAATGTTTAGAAACTCAATATATTTCTATTTCATTTACTTCAGTATGTTTTTCTTTTTGGTATGATATGGGAAGTTAAACCCAGAACCTTATATATTCTAAGCAATAGCTCTACCACTAAGCTACAACCCCAGCTGTTTCACCGTTATTATTTTCCACGTTAACTCACAGAGGTATGAACTAACTTGAAGAAAGAAGTCAGATAATACTTTGGCATTCCTCAGAGGTGATGTCAATAAAATGTTTAAATCAGTAAAACTTGGTTTTCTTCTCCCTGATTTTCTCTTGGAAAGTAATGTCTTTTCTTTCTGATGTGCTATCTATCACATGCACACGCGCACACACACACAATTCAATAAATGAATAGAGAGACAAAATAGAGTCTCACAAACATGTTTTTCTGAGTTCAAAGTTGATTACATTTATGTGCTTTTCAGTCATTATACAATGTACAGACATGATTCACTGAAATGATTTATGCTCTGCAAATGGTTAAACAATGATTTCCTATGAAATACTAGACAAACAAGCTTCTAGAAGCAGAGTATTGTTGCCTGCAAACAATCAACTTCAGGCATACATTTGTTTTTACACATATTCCTCGAGAATGCTACATTAGTAGTGCATAAAGTTTATTAAAAAGAGCTGAAAGAGAAATCGATTTTCAAGAGACTCGATGCATTGTGCTTTCAGATAAAAATCCTAAGACAAAAAGGATCAGTTGCTGTGAGAAGAACAGTTAGAGCCGTATAGATGTCAGAGGTCAGAAAATGCTATAAAGAAATGGAAATATTTGTGCTTAGGGGGCTTTTTTGGTAAAATATTTTAATAAATAAAAACTTAAAAAATATCTCGGTGACTGATACAAAATAGACACAGGTATTCTAGGGCTTTCTCTACTTGGTTTAGAGTGTGAAGATGAAAAAAATCATGTCCTTGGATATTAACTGCCATCAGGGCAAGTCACTTAACACTCAGGCAAGCAAGGGACTTGGGAGAAAACCAAAAGTTAATTTTCTCCTTAATAACATAAAAGGTTAGCCAGAGCTGAAGCCAGGATGAACAAATTAATTTTTTAAAAATGCCTACCTTCCTTTAGAACTCTCCGGCTAAACAGAGAAGCCAGTCTATTTCTATGAGGTGTCTGGTGTCTGACCCACAGCCTGTTCTGTAGTTCACAAGATGATTGAAATACATTTTGTCTTCGGTGAGACTGTCAGGTAAGTGTGATCCCTCAGTAAGTACCTTGTTTTCTCACCCCTTTCCCACATGGACTGTAACATACTTGTTTTAAGAACACGACAGCAACTTCTTGCAATGACAGAGGGAAATGGATGATTTACGGAGTAATGCTGATGCCCGTGTCTAGGCAATAAATGCCATTTGATGTTCAAGCTGGTCAGTTGCTCATTTAGGTCTTAAACTTTGAAGGACCCATGACCCTTATCAAAGTGAATTAGACAAAAAAAGATGAAAAATAATATTTAAAGTTATTTGCACAATAGGTAAAGATTAGAAAACAGTGACTTCAAATAATCCCCAGTGTATTACTCAGAAATATCTTTTTGTTGTCTGTAACATAAAGTGCTAGAGTCCTTCAAATAAAATTATAGACTAATTGAAAATATATATTATACATTTGCAGTTACTTGAAATCATTTAATAATTTGTAGTGTGTTAATGGAGTGAAATAGATAAAAGGCAGTCCACATTCATATTTAAGATAAATTTACTTCAGAAGTCAGTTTGAATCCTTGCTCATGTTCTAAGTACAGCCATTGTGATAAGACCTGAAAAGAAAGAAGTGGAGGAGAGTGAGAAACACATTTTACACTACTTGCCATTCAATAGACAATGGTTTGTAGCTTGGCAAGCAAATAAAATCTAGTGCCACAAGCAGGCACTCTACCAAGAACTCAAAGTCGATTTGAATTTAGTTGATATTATACAGAAGAAATCGAATTTACAACAATAGGCAGTCACTAGATAGATTTAATGAAATCACTTACGTCTGGTCATGGCTAATTTCACTATCAAACATACCTCCTACTTTATCCAGTCACATCAGCTGTAATAACAGCAGACATGCCATTTAAAAGTGTCTGTAAAACCAAACAGACTTCAGCAGCCTATTTATGTCAGGGCTTTAGGGCTACAAGGACACAGCAGTAGAGTGGTCCCACTTGCCCTGAGGGATTCCACTTATAAAACCATATCCAATCAATAATGTAAAAACATGCTCCATCTTCTTTCTTTCAAACAAGGTCTTACTCTACACAGCCCTGGCTGTCCTGGAACTCGCTCTGTAGACTAGGCTGGCCTGAAACTCAGAGATGCTCCTGCCTCTGCCTCCCCGTGGGATGAAAGGCGCGCACCCCCACATTGCCTTGCATACTCAGTCTTACATGCATGTCGGGGAGCAATGAAAGAGCACGGGGAAGGAAGGTGACGGCTTAGGCCTGAAACCACATACATGCACACAAAGAAATAAAAGTGAAAAAGAGAGCCTATTGTGCTGGCGTATGAGAACTGGGGAGGTGAGCACAGAAAGATCAGGAGGTCAAGGAAAGCCTGGGCTACATGAGACCTTGTCTCAGGAAAACAAAACAAAACAAAAGAACACTCCAGAGAATACGGAGTGAAATACAAGAAAGAATTGGCATTCAAGTAGAGGTGACAGGAGAACATGAGTGAAGGAGAGACCTTTTTTTTTTTTTGGTTTTTCGAGACAGGGTTTCTCTGTGGTTTTGGAGCCTGTCCTGAAAGTAGCTCTTGTAGACCAGGCTGCTCTCGAACTCACAGAGATCCGCCTGCCTCTGCCTCCCGAGTGCTGGGATTAAAGGCGTGCGCCACCACCGCCCGGCTAGGAGAGACCTTTTTGTTTTAAGACATTACCTCCTATAGTGGAGGCCACCCTCAAACTATGGACTGCAAACTCCTAGCCTCCTTCCTCCACCTCCCAATGACACTCCTATGCCCAACTGGAATGTATAAACTTTATACATATTTTATGACAGTGGAAACCAGTAACAAAGCATCTTTAAAACCCTTACCTAAGATATAAGCAGCCACTAATTTTTGATTCACACTTAAGTGGAGGTAGAGAGGCACCAGCGATTCCATATCCCCCAGAGTAGGCAGCATCAGGGCCGCAATACATACCACTCCCAGGAAGACAGTTAGCAAACTAGGTCCTGAAGAGACAGTTCTGTTTTCTGTATTAAAAAAAAAGATAATCTCTGAGTTTGCTTCAAAAGCCAATCTAAGACAAAAGTCTAAAGTTCCTTCACAGGTAGTGGCCACCATGCATAGGACTGTGTTTTGGTTCTGTCTGTCAACCTTCACCAGTACTGTAATCCAGGGAGATGTGCACGCTGCACCCACACAAATGTCTATAATTTAACCCTCAATCATTATACACTGGCTGGCTTAAAGGGCAAAGGGAGGGAGGGAAAAAGAACAGTGATTACAAATTTCCCAACCCCCTGGCTGGAGTCTACAGGACAAAAAACGTCTATCAAGTATGTGTCAGAAATACCTTTAAGATTTCCTTTGTTTGGTTGGTTTCTCTCCAGGACAGCCTGAAACTCAATTATGTGGACCAGGCTGGCCTCAAACTCACAGAAATGCACCTGCCTTTACTTCCCTAGTGCTGGGATTAAAGGCATGCGCCACCGCACCCAGCATGGTTCTCAATTGTACAGATGACTACTGTACTAACATGCGCACCAAAGAGAAAACATACAGACAGTTCTAGAAGCATGTGCTAGAAATGAATGGACAGTCACCATTTTCTTCCTGTACACCAGTGGATTACTTGGATACCACAGGAAGTCCTGACTTAAGATGGCTCAACTTTATACTGGTGTGAATGCAGCAGGCACAACAGAAACCACACCCCAGATGGTGAATTTTGATTGCTTTTGGCTTACTGGCATATGATGTGATAGCTAGGCTACTGGGCTTCGGCGGAGAACTGCAGAACTTCAGCATAGCCAGCACAAGAGGAAAACACCAGCACCCTGCAGTGGATTGTGTATTCAATGTTCTTTCCACAGATAAGATGCTCAATTCACAATGAGTTAACTGGGACAAACTGGGGATTTAAAATAGTCAAATTCATAGGCTCAAAGAGAATTGTGGCTTCCAGGACTTGGGAGAAGAGGCTAATGGAAGTTGTAGTTTAGTTCACGTAAGTCTCAACCATATGGGATTCACATGTCTAAAGGCACACTCTATCACACAGGATCTATATTTAGCAACACTATATTGGGGGTGGCAAGCATGTGCAAGCATGAGGACCTGAATTTGACCCAGAACCCATGCAAAATCACCAATACACACACACACACACACACACACACACACACACACACACACCTATTGTCAAGCCTGATGTGACCCAGTTCTGAGTGTATATCTACAGTATCCAAGCATCTTTTAAAGAAAGCCAGTATAATGGCTAATTCTAGACTCCAACTTGCCTACACTTGAAAGTATAACTTAAAACCCAAGCAGCTAGGTATACTGTGAGGTAACTTTCTTGGTTGGATTATTTAAGGTGGGAGATATACCCTAATTCCAGATCATTTCAAATCAGAAGATCCACCTGAAATCTGGGCCAGACACTCTGGTGGCAGCCTACATAAAGGGACTTGGAAGAAGGATGCTTGTGCTGTCTGCTTGCCCTCGCTCTCATTGGCAAGCTCATGCATTCTGACCCATTCCTTCAATGGTGTTTTAATCTACTTGTTTGGGATTCCAACATGGACTGAAAACTGGCAGCTCTCTAGGACACCCTTCCTGCGACACCAGCACCAGATTGTGAAAGCTGAAATATCCAGTTTCAAGGACTAGACAACTACTGGATCCTTGGACCTTCCATCAGGAAACAGCTATTGCCAGACGACTTGTATCACGGCAAGCCACCCTAATTAACCCATCCATCCGTCCATCCACCCATCCATCCATCCATCCACACACACACATGCACACACACACACTATACACACTATAATAGATATAGTTCATTATATCAGTTCTGTTCCTTAGAGAACCCTGACTAATAATCCAGTAACAGCATTTTTCTACCATGTACCTTTCCCCACTAATCTTCCTTTCATTAAAAGGAATAGCCAAGAGCAACACAATTTGTGTTTTATTAATGAAATAATGCTGTTCATTCTATTATTAAGTGGAACTTTTCTAAATTATTAATACCTTAGCTATTGTGAAATTTAATTGAACTTCATCAAAGCCAAATAGGTAAAACAAAGTCAAAATTCACAGTAATGATGGCTTGGGATGAAACAATAGCAAAAATAACTTTAAAAAACCCTTAGTTCATAAGCAAAATAACTCTGCATTTACATCCACTGCAAGACTGATTTTAAGGAAAATATGACAATTACACCATTCACTGCAAATTAAGATAAAGATAATTTCAAAGAGCTGGGTGCGGTGGCAAACAACTTGTGAGCTAAGCACCTGGGAGACAAAGGCAGGAAGATTGCTTAAAGCTCAAGGCCAGGCTGATCTACAGAGTAAATTGCAGGCAGTTTAGATTATGTAACAGGATTCCTAGCGAGTTTGATGCTAGCTTGAAGTTCCAAACTGAGTGTGACAGCGCAGCTACAACCGGACTAGGGAGACAGAGGCAGGAAGATCAGGAGTAACTTGGGACTACAGAGCAAAACCCTGTCTCAAAGAAAAATGATAAGGAAAACAAATGTCCATCATCTCTTCCTACAGCTAGCACAATGGACAACTTTCAGAGGTTATAAATGCTCACATAAACATGTAAAATAGGGGCTGCAAAGATGGCTCCATGGACAAAGTGCTTGATGTATCAAATGTGAGGACTTTTGAGTTTGAATCCCTGGAACTTAAAAGAAGCTGGACACAGCAAACTTGTCTGTAATTCCAACAGCAAGATGTGATGAACACAGCTGTGAACAAGAGGTCCTGCCTCAAACAAGGGAGACTGACACCTGAGGTTGGCCCCTACATGTACTGTGGCATATACACGCCTGCATCCACACGGAAGAACCCCCAACACACGCACCTTACACATACAAAGATAAAACCATACAACTTTACAGTAATAGCATGCTATCTACCTGCCATCCCCCTTTACTAATGTCCTTGACACTTTGGAAAAGACTTCATTATTTGTATCTTATGTATTGTGAGTGTTTCACCTGTTTGTACGTCTGTGCACCACATGTGTGCCTGGTGCCTATGGAGGCCAGAAGAGGGTGTCAGACCTCCTGGAACTGGAGCTACAGACAGTTGTGAGCCACCATGTGACTGCTTGGCATCCAACCTGGGTTCTCCAGAAAAGCAGCGAGTGCTCTTAAGTGATGAGCCCTCTCTCCAGCTTTTTCCACTCAGCATACAACCTCATTCTAACAGAGCCTTGTAACTGCCTGACATTCCATTTCATCAACAGTCATAACTTAGTCAACTCTCAACTGATGGCCTTTCAGGCTTTTTTAATTAATTAATTAGGTATACATACAGTGTTCTGCCTGCATTTATGCCTGCAGTCCAGAAGAGGGCACCAGATCTCATTACAGATGGTTGTGAGCCATCTTGTGGTTGCTGGGAAGTGAACTCAGGACCTCTGGAAGAGCAGCCAGTGCTCTTAACCTGAGCCATCTCTCCAGCTTAACAGTTTTTTATTATTACAAACAATAATAAAGAAGATACTTTTCTGAAGCCAGAAGGTGCAGACTCAAATGTGTAACAAAGTCTTTGCAATTCATTATTAATGTAATTAAGACAAATCTACCAATATTCACCTCAATCTTTTAAAAATATCTTTAATAGCCTTGACTACTAGTATTTTATGAAAGTATATTTATATATTTTACAGTTTATTTTTATTACATGAAAAGATCCAAAAAATATAAAACTGTGTTTTTATATGCAGGCAACACTTGTATAAGTCAACTTGTTAAGTGCATGAACTGTAGTTTTTTTTTTCTTTTTAAAATTTGTTATTGCTGGTAGTTTTTGTTATTTGGGGTGGCAGGTTCTCATGTGTCCCGCGCTGGCCTTAAACTCCGTCTATCTAACAGAGGATGACGGTCAGTGAGATGGCCGAGTGAACAGGTTCTTGCTGCCAAGTCTAATGGCCTGAGCTCCATTCCCGGGATTTACATTGTAGAAGGAAAGAACCTTCCCTCATCTAGACCATCCCGTTCCCTCATGCTCTCCTCCACCCCTCCCCTTCTTCTTCCCTTCCACCCTCCCTTTTCTCCCCCCCCTCAACACTCCCAATTTTCTTAGGTTCTTGTCTATTTCCCCTTCCCAGGGGGATCCATGTGTTTCTCTTAGGGTTCTCCATGTTACCTGGCTTCTCTGGGGTCATGGACTATAGGCTGGTTATCCTTTGCTTTATTTATGTCTAATATCTACTTATGAGAGAGTACGTACCGTGTTTGTCTTTCTGGGTCTGGGTTACCTCACTCAATATGTTTTTTTCTAGTTCCATCCATTTTCATGCATATTTCAAGATGTCATTTAGAGGGAGAACAAGGAAAGAGATATCTTGATTGTGGGAGCCATTACGGGGCTAGCAAGAAACCTGCCACTTGGGAAATTCCTAGGAATCCACAAGGATGACACCAGCTAAGACACTAAGCAATAGTGGAGAAGATGCCTGAACTGACCTTGCCCTGTAGTCAGATTGATGACTACCTTAATTGTCATCATAGAACCTTCATCCAGCAACTGATGGAAGCAGATGCAGAGATTCACGCTGAAGTACTGGGCTGAGCTCCCAAAGGCCAGTCAAAGAGAGGGAGGAGTGAAATAAGAGCAAAGGGGTCAAGACCATGAAGGGGATACATATTGAAACAGCTTACCTGAGCTAATGGGAGCTCACTGAGTCCAGACTGACAGCAGGAGAACCAGCAAAGGACCAAACTAGGGCCACTAAATGTGGGGGACACTCGTGTGTCTTGGGCAGTCAGTGGGACCACTGGCAGTAAGACCAAGATTTATCCCTAGTGCTTGAACTGGCTTTTTGGAGCCTATTCTGTTTGGAGGGATACCTTGCTCAGCCTTCCTGCCTCAAAGCAATGTGCAAGACTTTGTTGATTCCCCATAGGAAGCCTTACTGTCTCTGAGGAGTGGATGGGGGTGGGCTGCGGGGAAGGGGAGGGGAATGGGAGGAGGGGAGGGAGTGGGAACAGGGATTGGAATGTAAAATGAGAAATGATTTTTTAAAAATAAATTAATTAAAAAAGGAAAAAAACCTATTCCCACAAGTTGTCCCCTGACTAAGGATCACTCTGAACTCCTAACCTACTGACTCTACCTCCCAGCACCTACCAAGGGCTAGGATTAATGGGCCTGGGGCACCGCACCAGTCCAGTGTTGTCTCTCATCAAAAAATAAAAGATGCTCCTGTTACTGAACAATCACTGCTAGGAAACTAACGCCTCATCCATAGTCCATAGTCCGCAATCCTGTTGTTAAGCAGAAAGTCTAGGCACTCCCTGTGCGGACTGAAAAAAAAAAACAGCAGAACCAATCAAAAAGACAGCCCTTCTACCTTCTAAAACAAATATTTGGAGATGAACATATTGATATAGGGGTTCATAAAATGACAAGTACATTTGTAAAATAGTCCCAATATAAGCTTCAATTTCTTTTCTTTTTATCTTTGTTTTAATTTACTTTTTAGTTTTAATTCATTTTAATTAGTTTTAGTTTTAACTTAATTTCATATATATGCACTATATTTACAAAATAGTTTTTTTTCCCTTTGTTTTTGTTGGGGATGGAACCTAGGGCCTTGCTCAAACAAGGTTGGACACATGTTCTACACTGGGTCACTTCCTGAGCCCTTTTTCTGTCTTAATAGAGTTTTACTAGATAGCCCTCATGGCAATTCTGCTTCAGCCTCTAGCACACTGGGATTAGCAGCCTGGGCCACCACTCCTGACAAACAGCTGGTATCACATGCATGTATCGCTCTCTGAAAAGACCTTTGTTTTATTCTTTTTTTAAAAGATAGATTTATTTATTTATTTATTTATTTATTTATTTATTTATTGTGTATACAACATTCTGCCTCCATGTATGCTCACACGCCAGAAGAGGGGGCAAGATTTCATTACAGATGGTTGTGAGCCACCATTTGGTTGCTGGGAATTGAACTCACAACCTCTGGAAGAGCGCTCTTAACCACTGAGCCATCTCTCCAGCCCAAGACCTTTGTTTTCTATAGAAACTTTTATCTCCCTGCTCTTCTACCAGGATTGCAGGACAATAATTACAAGCTGGGAAGAAAGGGGGATGATGTCTGAAAGTTGGATATGAGGAGTGTCATTGTTGAAAATATATATCATAGTGATTCTGAGTATCTAAGCTGGAAGGAAATGAGGAATGTAAAGGGATTCAATTAATAGTCCACAGGGGATATTATAATCTACTTAGTTTAATTAACTTCAACTTTAATGAGATTTTTTTTCAAAATAATATGAACAGCACACTAAGCTTGGCCTATTGCCAAAATGAATCTCTCTCCTCCTTCAAACTAATCAAATGAAAAAGGATATAGGAAAGTCATAGAAACAATAGTATATAATTGCTAAATTGTGCTGGTATTATAAGGTTGGTACCCGCATTCTTTAAGTTTATATATCTTGGAGATATATGGCATTTCCTACTTTTCAAGCCTAGGGTAGCAATTGTCTGCTCCTCCTACCTACTGTGGCAGGCATCCCTTCCTTCCCTGAATCTCCATCTGTTGACTAGGCTGAAAGTGGTTATCTTGTGAGTAGTTAGTCTCAGCGCCATGATTACTGGTGGAAATGTATAAGGTTTTAAAAACATTACTACCTGGTTGACATGACTGCTCAAAAAATACACTTTCCGTTAAATGTTCCTTTATTCTCTTCTCCTCTTCTTTCTTTTGTTGTTCTTTCGCAGACGGGAGAAGAGTGGCAATAACCTCTTTCCTTCCTAAAGCCTTCCTCTGGCTTTGCTCAGAAACTTGGAGGCGGAATTTGTCTATCACACCATAGTGACAGGATCGAACATCTCTATGACGAATCACACTGAAAACAGCAAAATAATAATAACAATAATTAATAATTACAAAGTCTGTTTAGGTTTTTGGGGGGCTATCAAACATCAGAAATTTCAATAGGGTAAAAATAATCTTACTATAACTAAAAAGAATCTTTCTGACTATAACTAAATACTCAACATTTGCCAATGACGCTAAAAAACCTCCAATCATCATATGGCCTAAGGAAGAAAATGGGCAATTGTGAAATATTAGATGAACACACACAGTATGAAATGGAATAAGTCTTCTCTGTGTATGTGGCTGAGGATTGAACCCAGGGCCTCAAACACACTGAATAAGCAAGCAGTCTACTGTTGTGTTATGGCCTCAGCCCAGAATCAAAGTCTCAACTAAAAGAATGGTAAAGAAAATTGCTTTTAACACTGAATTTGTTTCTGTACATCTGTTAAAGATTTCTTTCCTAAATTAGAACACATAAAATAGTTTCTTCCTCACGAACATAATAAATTCTTATTGTTACTTATTTTTTTATTGAAATAAGAAATCTTCCTTTTATTGTGCCTAATTCTTCTGAGGGAAAGCAAAAACAATTAGGTCAAGGGTAATGGGTGTTTATTTGGTAAGACTACATTTTTTTTGAATATCCTTGTTTATTGTGTACCAAATGACAACCCAAAGAAATATGCAAAAATCTGTTCTTAAAAGGACACATCACCTATGGCAGGGGTTCTCAATCTTCCTAATGCTGAGATCCTTTAGTGCAGTTCCTCACGTGTGATGACCTCCACCGCAACATTATTTCATTGTTACTTCCTAACTGTAATTTTGCTACTGTTATGAATGTAGCGTAAATATTTGGGGAACTAGAGGTTTGACTCCCAGGTTGCGACTCACAGGCTAATAACCACTGACCTATGGCTTTGGGCTGAGGAAAATTCACGAAAAGAGCTTTGCCTCTCATAGAAGCCTTAGACAAAAAAAAAAGAAGCCTTAGACAAATACAGCTGACTTGGGAGCTTTAATATTAAGGGCTGACCAGTGGATTCATTTGGTCACTACTAGTTTCTAACGTAAAAATTAAATATGAACAGCTTGAGCAAACAATCACTCATTTGACACTCTAAAATGAAATTACTAGAAGCACTCAGCTAACCTTTCACACACTCGCTTCCTGTTGAGATTCAATTCCAGACTTATTAGCGGAACCATTGTCAGACAATCTTATACTGCTTTTGTTCTACAATGTGGTATTATTCGCTTCACAAATGTTATTATAGTAGCAGGATGTCTCAAAGAAAGCTAAATTCTCTATTATAGCTAGAGAAATGAAAAGGAATAAGCAAGAACTTGACCATAAACATCACGAGCTCAAATGAAACAATGAGGATTATTAAAGAAAACACTGGCCCAAATAGTATAAGTATTTGCTTGCCTTATATAGAATCTTTCAGAAACTTCTTAAACTTTTTTTTTCTTTTGGTTTTTCAAGACAGGGTTTCTCTGTGTAGCTTTGAAGCCAGTCCTGGAACTTGTTCTGTAGAAAAGGCTGGCCTTGAACTCAGAGATCTGCCTGCCTCTGCCTCTGGGATTAAAGGCGTGTGCCACCACCACCACCCAGCAAAAACTTCTTAATTTTTTTTTTTGGTTTTTAGAGACAGGATTTCTCTGTGGCTTTAGAGCCTTGTCCTGGAACTAGCCCTGTAGACCAGGCTGGCCTCGAACTCACAGAGATCCTCCTGCCTCTGCCTTCCTAGTCCTGGGATTAAAGGCATGCGCCACTATCGCCCGGCTTACTTCTTAAATTTTAATAAGCTTTCAGCCCCAAATAAAAAAGCAGAAATACCTACTTAGGAATCACTTTGAGAAGGTATCATTTTAAAGTTCAAAAATACATATCCACACACTGAGAGCATGTTACGTGAGTCTGACTTACATATCCACACACTAAGGACATGTTATGTGAGTCTGACTTACATATCCACTCACTAAGGACATGTTACATGAGTCTGACTTACATATCCACACACTAAGGACATGTTACATGAGTCTGACTTACATATCCACACATTGAGGACATGTTACATGAGTCTGACTTACATATCCACACACTGAGGACAGGTTATGTGAGTCTGACTTATATCCACTCACTAAGAACATGTTATGTGAGTCTGACTTACATATCCACACACTGAGGACATGTTATGTGAGTCTGACTTACATATCCACACACTAAGAACATGTTATGTGAATATGACTTATATATCCACTCACTAAGAACATGTTATGTGAGTCTGACTTACATATCCACACACTAAGGACATGTTACATGAGTCTGACTTACATATCCACACATTGAGGACATGTTACATGAGTCTGAATTATATATCCACACACTGAGGACATGTTACAGGAGTCTGACTTACATATCCACACACTTAAACATGTTATGTGAGTCTGACTTACATATCCACTAAGAACATGTTACGTGAGTCTTACTTACATATCCACACACTAAGAACATGTTATGTGAGTCTGACTTACATATCCACACACTAAGAACATGTTATGTGAATCTGACTTACATATCCACTCACTAAGAACATGTTACGTGAGTCTGATTTACATATCCACTCACTGAGGACATGTTACATGAGTCTGACTTAGATATCCACACACTAAGAACATGTTATGTGAGTCTGACTTACATATCCATACACTAAGGACATGTTATGTGAGTCTGACTTATATCCACACACTAAGAACAAGTTATGTGAGTCTCACTTACATATCCACACACTAAGGACATGTTACGTGAGTCTGACTTATATATCCACTCACTAAGGACATGTTACATGAGTCTGACTTACATATCCACACACTAAGAACATGTTATGTGAGTCTGACTTACATATCCACACACTAAGGACATGTTACATGAGTCTGACTTACATATCCACACACTAAGAACATGTTATGTGAGTCTGACTTACATATCCACTAAGAACATGTTACATGAGTCTGACTTACATATCCATACACTAAGAACATGTTACATGAGTCTGACTTACATATCCACACACTAAGAACATGTTATGTGAGTCTGACTTACATATCCACACACTAAGAACATGTTATGTGAGTCTGACTTACATATCCACACACTAAGAACATGTTATGTGAGTCTGACTTACATATCCACACACTAAGAACATGTTATGTGAGTCTGACTTACATATCCACACACTAAGAACATGTTATGTGAGTCTGACTTACATATCCACACACTAAGAACATGTTATGTGAGTCTCACTTACATATCCACACAGCACTGAGGCTTCACTGCACCGGCGGCGTCAACGACAACATACTTATTTGGAGTCGTACATAAAACTGAAAGAAAAAGTCACAATGTCATTAGTGTGATTAAACCAACTCATTTAACTTAGTAGGAACTGGTTAAATATTCAGAAGCTAGGAGACTCACCTTTGAACTTTAAGGCAAACTCATAGGGGTTGTACAGAGTCAACACTTGCTTATGTGTTGACTGATCATCCGCATAGAATATTAGCTCCGTGGGGAACACAAAAACAGGAAGATTTCCTTCCACTAACTCTGGTTGTCTTTTTTGTTGATGCATTGGCACTGAATCCCCCTTGCTGCAGCTTCTGTCTTTACAGTCTCAAATCTATTTTGGACTTTCTTAGATTCGGTTAAAAACTCCAAAGCATTTTGGCAATCTATAAAGGATAAAAAGAAACTGCATGATATCAATTTTCAGTAATCTGTAGTCACTCTACAAAAAAAGCATATTTAGGGCACAGCAAGATGGCTAGTGGGTGAAGCTGCTTGATGCCAAACCCGACCTGATGGCCCACACTCCATCCATGAGGATCATGGAGAACCAAGTCAGTCAAGCTGCCCTGACTGTCTCTCTCTCTCTCTGTAAGGGAGAAAGAGAGAGAGACAGCGAGAGACAGCGAGAGAGAGAGAGAGAGAGAGAGAGAGAGTATTCAGGTGCCGGAAGAGGGTGTTTCAGCTGGTAGAGTGCTTTCCTGGCATGCACCAAACAATGGCTTCAATCCCCAGGATTGCATAAAACCAACTATGGAGATACATGCACCTGTAACCCCAGCATTCAAGAAGCAGGGGCAGGGAGTTTCTGAAGCACTTGGTTTCCACATCCCCCCTCGCAATGCCCCCAATTTCAGTATTTCTCCCAGTCCTCTCTTCTACAACCAAGAAAGGATCCTTGTAGTGGGACTGGGACATCAACCTAGCCACAAAACCTTTGACCTACAATCTGTCCTGCGTGCAAGAGGTGCTGAGGCAATGGTGGTGCAGAACTTGTGGGAGTGGCCAACCCATGACTAGTGTAACTTGAGGCCCATGCCATGAGAGGGAACCCATGTCTGACAGTGCTGGGAGGGCCAGGAATCAGAGGCAGGACAGTACAGAGACCCAGGATAGAACCAAATATGACCAGAAAAAAAAATCAATGAAAATCATTCCTAATGATATTCTGCTATAATCACTCATATATCAGTGACTAGCCCAATTGTCAGAGGGGTGCATCCAGCAACTTGTTGGTACAGATGTAGAGACCCATAGCTAAACACTACACAGAATCAGGGAAACCAAGAAGAGGGGAAGGACTGTAGGAAGCAGAGTGCGTCAAGGATGCCAGGAGAACACTGCCCACAGAATCAACTAAGCGGGACTCACAGAGACCAAAATGACAATCACGGACCCTATATGGGGCTGAGCTAGGTCCTCTGCATATACCTTATGGTTGTGTAGCTTGGTGTTCTTGTGGGACTCCCAACTGTGGGAATGGGGGGAGGGGGAGGGTGTTCCTGAATCTTTTGCCTCTTGGGACTCTTTTCCTTCTATTGGGTTGCCTCATCCAGCTTTGATATGAGAGTTTGTGCCCAGTCTTATTGTATCTTGTTAGGCCATGTTCGATGGATATTCCTGTGAGGAATTGATCTGGGGGAAAGAGGGGGCAGGGGCAGGGATTGGGAAGAGTGGAGGGACAGGAAACTGAGGTGAGGATGTAATGTATGAGAAAAGAATAAAAGTTTAAAAAAAGCAGAGGCAGGAAGATTAAAGATTAAAGACAAACTACATAGAAAGTTTGCCACCAGCCTGAGAACATGAGATTCTGCCTCACGAACAAATAATAAAAAAATAAGGCTTCCCCCGCCGACACACCCCCACTGCAAAGTACAAATTGGGCCAGGCATGGTGATGCATACTTGTAGTCCAGCACTTGGGGGACTGCTTGTAAGTTTGAAGCTCGTGTTTTCTGTGCAACAAAAGCCCTACCTCTTAAAACCCACCAACCCAGCAAAGCGGCAAATCTAACTCAGAAAATCTCCAGTTTTCATTCTGTAGAATATCCTTTTAAAACGGGCTCTCAGCCGTTACTGTGAGTCGAGCTTCATAGACATTCAAAGAGGACTAGAACCAATGAACACATTTAGCTTTGTCAGCTGCCGGGGCTCTGATCCTTAATTAGGCTTTCTGATTTTTCACCAAAATAGGATATAATACCATCGTACGTCAAAACGTAGATGGGAGACGTGCACACCGTGCCATCAAGACAGTCTGCTGGGGCATGGAGATCCACACTTTCATCTCTGCCCTCAGTGGGCACAGGTAGGTGATTTGCTCTCATTTTGAGGCTAGCCTGGACTACATAGTAAGTTCTAGGCCAGGCAGGGTACATAAGTAAGCTACAGTCTCAAAAACAAACAAAACAAAACCCCCAAAAATAGAAAAAGAAAGGAAGGAAAAAAGAAACTCAAGTCTGGAGATGGGGCATTGTGCTGTATACCTGGAGTCTCAGGCTTTTGGAGGCCGAGGTAAGAGGATCCACAGTTAGAAGCTGTTCTGGCCTACAAAGTGAGACCCAGCCTCAAGAGAAGAAAACCAGGAGCGTGTACAGATGAGTGCCGGGAGGAGGGCATTCAGACCAGGAGTGCTGCACTGCAAAGGCATGGGAACCTGAAGGCCAAAGGGAAGGAAGGCGCTGAGCCCCAGCTCCCTAGCCATCACTTCAGAGCACATACAGAGCGCATAACAATGTTGGCTTTGGTCCTGAGTTTGGTTTTCAATAAGCTGACTGAGCTTGTTGACATTTTTTATGAGTAACAATATCTAATGTTTGTATAATTCATAACAGATTACTCAGACTTTTATTAATTACATGGACTGAATGATTAATAAGCTCTTAGATAGAGTGTTGCTCGGACTATACTAAGTGCTAAGTGTTTCCTATTATTATTGGTCATAGTGATATTTAATTATGAATAGACCAGCCTGTAACAAACAAAAAACCCAGTATCATTAGGCTTCCTGCCTTCTAATCCAGTGTTCTTTCCACTATATCACAATATTTCCACAAGAGAAAGAATATTTTCAAAAGCATCTGACTCAAATGATTATAATTTAACATATTTCCTCCAAATCTATTTTGCTTTCCTTTCCATCCTTCTCCACTGCCCCCCACCCCCACTTTCTTTTTTGACAGGCTCTCTGGTAAATCTGTTCTCAGTCACACAGCAATGCTCCGGCATAAGCCACCACACACACACACACACACACAGGCTCTGAATTCCTTTCTTTTACTCTAAGCCATACACATTGCTACTTGGATAAGGCACTCTGAGACGTTTGGCATATATTTATAAATAGAATGCAATAAAATAAGTTCTGTAATTTGATTCTTAAGAAACTTGGCTATTAGGAAGATCCAAATTTGACATGACTAAGTAATAGATGCCCTGACTCGTTCTAAAACTCAGTTTGGAGGGAAAGAGTTTTAGCAGCTCCAATTTATAGAAGACATAATCAATAAGTATTGGTTAAACTGGGGAGCCATCGAGAAAACAATAAAGTTGAATTAAGCCTTTGCTTAATACCATGGCCAATTCCAAACAGATTAAAGCTTTAAGTGTTAAAAAGGGAAAGAAAAGTCAAAGCACTAGAAGAAATCATAGAAAATTAAAAAAGAAATACGCAGGTTAACAATGATATGAAACTAAAACCCAGAAATATTGACAAATTTAGTTACATAAACCCTTATAAGTACACATGGCTGGCCTGTAATCCCAGCACTTGGGAAGTGGAGGCAAGAGGATCAGAAGTTCAAAGTCAGCCTTATTTATATAGCAATTTTGAGACCAGCCTAAACTATACGAGAGCCTGTCACACACAAAAAGCATATTATTTTATAGGGAAGGGACTTAGCTTTCAAAAGGCTATTTAATTTAACTTCACAAGAGAAACACAAACTAAAGCCATGCTCTGGTATATGTTTAAAAGGATATCAGATTAGGAACAAAAAACCTTGTTAGCACATGGGGAGAGAAATCAGAAATCAGGCACATTCTTCTATTACTGATGGGGATATAAACTGGAACAGTTCCCATCCTGTTAGAATGAAACATTCATATCTTCAGAGCCGCTAAATTTACTTTTTAGAATATTTCTAGAATATATATCCTCCACCACCACCAAGGGTGAAGTTACATACATGGAAGCTTTTATATGGAGTGTCAAGGATTAAAGGAAATGATTTACGTGAAGCTTGGTGTAAAGACCTTGGCACTCAATATAAACTAGTTGTTCATAGCAAAAGACTGGGAACATCTCAGCTGTCCATTAATAGGGGACTTATTAAAGTGTAGTATAGCCATTCATTGGGATACAAGAAATCTGTCAAAACAATAGAGAAAGCTCTTTGTATAGCTGGACATAAATTAAGCCACACAATGTAAGATAAAGCTGGACCTGCTAACATAGACCTGTAATCTCAGGTCTACATTAAAACAGGAGGCTATCAAATTCAAGATTTACCTAGATACTTAATGAGATTCTGTATCAAAACAAAAAGTGGGTTGGTCTATAGCTTAGTGGCAGAACACTTGCCTAGCATGTATGAAGTCTCAGGTTCGATCCCTAGTACCAAATAAAAATCTGATCACAAACAAAAAGTTAAGAGAGGGAGAAAAAATTTAAAGGAGGGATGGGATAAAGCTCAGTGGTAGGGCCTAGATTAAATCTCCAGCACCACCACCACCCCCCCCCCGCCCCCTTGCACCCAAAGAAGATGTAGGGTTGAATAAGAAAAGCATGGAGCACTTTGTGAAGGACATACTATCATCTGTATGGAAAGTGTAGCTAAGGAACGATAAACTGGGTTGTGATGATACATGCCTGTAACCACAGCATTCCTGAATCACACACAACAAGATGAGGCATTCCAGGCCAGCCTCAACTACATGGGGATTTCCAGACGAGCATGCGCTACATGAGTAAAGAAATAAAAAAAATGTATTTTTCAAGCCTTTTAAGCAGGTGTGGTGGCAAAGGCCATCCTAGTAGGGAATTGAGGCAGGAGGACTACAGAAGATTATCTCAAACAACAACAAGACAGGAATACGAGATGATTCATAAACCTTACTGTGAAGTCAAAAATAACCACACAGACAAGTGCTAAGTCGCTGTTCTAACTTTAAGGAGAATTTAGTTGGCACAGGTCAGAGGAGGAATTTTATTAGCTCGAATAAAGGCTTTTTTTTATCCTTTGCACCTCAAGGCTTTCTCTTCGTGAGTTAAAAATGCCCTCGTTTCACCATGAATCACTAAGAGGCCATCACCTTGTCAACATTAAAGAAGTGGTTAGGCGCTTTTGAGCGCTTTACCGTTTCTTTTCACATCCCTTTCCCCATTC